ATGGTTTACCCTTTTTTTTCTTATCCATGCTAAAAAGGACTGGCACTAGTACGTATATATAGTCTAGGACTTACGTAAACAGCTGGGAAAGTTGTAGAATCCTGGCAGACATCTCTGGCATCTTCTCCCAGTGAAGTTTGGAAGACAATTACAAGGCTTGTATGGAGTGTCAGGATTGCATTGCATTCCTTTAGTTGCAAATTTATTGCAGTAACAAACTAAAGAAATAAGAAATGGTACATTATGTGTGCCAATGGATGTTACATTGACGCATAAGCTACTAGTGATACTTACATTGTATATCTGGTTGGTCGCCTTGTATGGCTKCTGGAGCATTATTGGATTTTGATTGAACACTTTTGCCTTGTTCTTGTAAAGGAGAGGTGAAATCAAAATATGAAATTTTCAGTGTCTTTTCTTTAATTTTGAAAGAGAGCGAGCGAGCGAGCGAGCGAGAGAGAGAGAGAGCTGGGAGATAGATGACATAAAGGAAACGGAAGGAAATGAAGAAACAAGCAAACAGTATAACTACACATGTGTTACGTTCATCAACACAGGAATCCCATCACTCAATATGAATTTCCGGTTCCKTCTCAAGTATAACTCTATACTGGAGGAATGTAAAGCGAGAACCAATACGTTTTATTTACGTTACCTTGCAAGCATCGTATCAAATCAATTAAGTTTGAGTGACAATTGGYCGCGCATTATATATTGTTATGAAAACACAGTACTCGGCCAATCAGAACGCGCGTAGTAGCTAAGTTATTTTATGGTCATTTCACAGGTCATCTCGCATCGTTTTTTTTTTTATTTACGAGGGGGGGAAAAAATATTAAAATGGCTTTAAAAATCAATCTTTATTCATAAAGCTGTTTATACTTATTAAAGAAAAAAGAAAAGAAAGAAAAAGTCTTGAAAAGTCTCAAGAAATGAAGTAGAAAAATTTACGGCTTCGATCATGAGGGCTCGAACCAGCGAACCCCGCAATTAATACTTTGACACCGCCGTGAAAGCAACACAACCGTTGAGCCTGGGCCCCCTGTGAACATATAAATAAAAAAGCTGTTCTCCGATCATTAATTCGATTTCTTCCATAAGTTTTAAATGTACGTTAATCTTTATATCAAACTGGAATCATGCGCACTATGTAGAGATGCAGGAATCAACCGCTGATTCATGCAGTCAGTGATTGACCACTGGGTATTTGAGAATATGGAACAATCACATACTCAGTAGACTTGTGCCTCCTTTTTTCTAGCGATTTCTTAGGCAATAAATATCCTGTGATTACAAGGTTGGTTGTCATTGGCACACTTCCACAAATATATAGATTGTCTTTGGCTAGATTAATTAAAGTCTACCATCATGGCCAATGGCACTTCTCCCCCGGCAATAAATTTTTGTTAGGTGATATTTAGATGAAGACCAAATACTGGATCCTAATAAACATGTACTTAGGGGGATGAGATATCATGTCAAGCTCAATTCCTTCGATTTTTAATGTAAAGAAATTTCCTGCTCAATAAAGTACCGACCTATGAAACATTACTATTCTGACGTAGATACCCCTTTACCAAATATTCTTYGATTACAGCGGTATTTGTGGAATAAAGATATCATTACTCTATTATCTACGGCACGCTTTGGACGTCTTGACATGGTACATGCGTGTCTGTCAACCTTTAATCCGGCATTGATATTTAATTTGTGATGCAAATTTGAATGACCGAAAGATAATAGTTATTCAGCACCAAATCAATTCATTAACCCTATTTGAATAACATGATCACAGTTACTTTATCATTATTATTTGGTAGGCATGAGATTTCGGTACTTGTAGACAATACCTGCAGACGATCGACAATGCGTTAGATTAATTCCCTCTTTACAACCACTGCTTCTTGTAATTGTTACATTAGTCCTACTTCCCCTTTCTTGTTGAGACATATGAACATGATTTTCCTTGAGGGTTTGAGCTTGAACACCGGATAAAATGAGGAAAACAATTTCCAACATAAATAACGTCATGTCCATCGCCGTATTAAAACTTGGTGGTTTTTGCCACGCACTAMTTCAACAGATTCTGTACAATTCTCTAAGAACGCCGAGTAGGATCCTAACGATGCCTTCGTTTACTCCAAACTTGCTGTTCAAGGCTTTCCCCTTCAGCGGAGTAGTAAACAGTTGGCTTGTATTTTATGAAGGCATACCGGTGTAACGGGTTCGTCACGCTTGCGTTGTGGGAGATGATACCTCTTCCGCTAACTTATTCACGCCTTTCCGGTTGACCCCACTACTAGTCCCACCTACACGTATGTTAGCTAAACGATTTGACATTTTATACAAAGAGGCCCTTTGAGTTCTAGAAATTTCACATATTCTTTGTATGTTTGACATTGCAGTCGGTTTTTTAGTTCACAATATTCACTAATCCAAAGTTATTAAAATGAAGATACTAACAAGAGTTTGAAGAGTGATAGTATGAGTATGCGCACTTCAAAAGTTCGATTGTGTTATCTAAGGAACTCAGGCCTCAGCCCATTTTTTACTCCTTCACTACTTCACGCCTTTATCCCGCAATGCAAACCAACTTGCCGCGCTAAAAAAAATCTTATTGGTATTTTAACACTTGTCCATTATTTTATAAGATAATTTTTTTTCTCGAAAATATACATCTTTCTAAATCTTCCCGTTGAGTTTAGGAAAGTGCTGCCTGATCAGAAATGTATATATGACATTGTGTACTTCTTAGCATGAATCGATTGACCAGTGGAATGCTTGTGTGTGCCAGACGCGCCGCTGCTGATTCTTTTGATTTTTCTCACAGACACATCGATTGCGGTATCAGCGGGGTGTGACAAGAGACACAAAAACTAGGGAGTGGTGGACAATTATCAGGGAGTGTGGATTGCAAAGTACGTAGTCGCGAAGTACGATGAAGTTTAAAACAGGGAATTCCTCATATAAAACATGAAAACATACTGACTTGTAYCTAAGTTGTCACGTGACGCCTTGAGCTATATATTTTAGCGATGTGTATAAGAACTGTTGTACTCAAAAAACTTTTAATCTCCAACTTTGCGCATTGGCACTAGAACTGCCAACACCACACCTTAAAGGGATGCCCCGAGACTGTACAGGGTCAGTACAGAATACATGATTACTCCTCAAATGTAAACTATGACTAAAGTTGTGAAAAGACTGAAAATAACATTTATGATGAGAGATCATGAGAGAAATTTTTTCTTTTTAACGTTTTTAGTTGATACAGACAATCCGATTAACGTTATTTGTTCAGTTGTTGCAGACATGAATACAACAAGAAAGTCATTTGCATATATCGTGTTTTAATTTCTTTGCAAAATTATTCAGTTCCAAAAATTCTTTACAATGTCAATAGCATTTAATTCACTAAATTCACTATCTTTTTAAAGTTTATAATTACAATTCTTCCTGGGCCATTTTAATTGAACCTTTTATGCACTGGAAGTTGTCTTTATAGTCTTTTGAACTGAACAACGTGTCTGCACTGATTCGGTGCTTATAAAAAAGTCCAACAATAAGAGCCGAAGAAGTCATATGTAGCACAGATATTTTTTTTACAAAAGGACAGCCCAGACAATGCGAGCCTGCAGTGTAAGCGTCTGACTACCAGCGGATGCCGTCATGTCGAGGCTGTTCTTTTTGATTTCCCGCGCTTGGAACCTCATGTCTGTGTAGAACAAGATGGCTGACACCGAAAAACCAGTACAAAATGCCGAAGAAGACGCCGAAGAGTCTCCCAAGGTACTTATAAATCGCATTGCAAACCAATTATACATATTCTAAAAAATATGATCACTTATTTGCTTTTGAAGAAGGCGTCGTTTTTTTGAAATCTTTATGTTGTTCTTGGTTAGGACGATGAAAAGGTCAAAGACGCGAAAGTTGATGGGAAGAAGAGCAAAGCCAAATCCAAAGCTAAACCCGTAAAAGAAGAAAAAGAAGAAGAGGAGGAGGAATCTTCAGAAGAAGAAGATCACCCAGGTAAGGGGTATTCAGTCTACAAAGATTAATGATGCTGTGTTTTTTATGCAGACGCGCCGTGAACAATGATGACAACCGTCGAGTGACCTTAGTCAAGCAAAGTATAGATTTTCATTCCAACTCAACCGCTTATATTCTCTTTCTCTATATGTAATTATGTTAAAATGTTTCTGTAGCCGTTTCACTGCTTTTTTATCAAAACATTTCTAGTTTTAATACTAATTTAGCCCGGATTTTTGCTGCTTTACATAACTGACAAAAGTTGACAACACACAGCTTACCAGCGATTTGTAAAAGCTTTGTTTCTTTGCACTTTGTTGGAGGTAGAACGTCCAGGCAACAATAAGCATAAATTAAATATCTATTTGAAACATCTGCCATTTTTACTGTGTTATATTTAGTAGACACATGACGGCAGAGTGCAATAAATTCTACACTGAATTTGAATTTTTAGCTCACCTGCCTATGGCACAGGAATCCCATAGTCCAGACATTGTCAGCATTCAAAGTTTTACTTTAATATTTATGACAATGCTGATATCAAAATTATTTTTGATCCTTAAAACACAGATTAAACTTCATGTAGGACTACATGACTACATGACTACATTTTTTTTGTATTCAAGGGTTATATGACAAGCCATTGGTCATCGAAGGAAAACGAGAAAGAAAGAAGACRGAATTTCTTGTAAAAGACCCAGATGAAAGAAAAAAGCCTGAACCACTTCAGTTTAATGTGAGTTTACTCACTGGAAAATAGTAGCTATACATGTGTGTACCTGTCTATCCCTGTCCTCACAGTAAGGAATAATATTATCTTACCAGCACATATAAGAAAGGATGATGAACAGTAATGTCCACTGAGAATTATCATTTTTCAAAAAGTTTTACTGGCTAAACCTTTATTTGAATGGGTATTTTTGTGAGCTGTTTATCTGTTGTTTTTGCCTTGCTTCTCAACCCCATCTTAACCTCAAATTATGTGTATGTGTATACGAGTTCTTTTGTAATTAAATATATCAAATATTGCAATTGTTATACAGGGAACAGGAGATGCACTAGGGACAATGGAAGTTGGTAAGTTCTCAATTCACATATTTTATTTACAGTTAAAGTGCTACTTGCATGAAAATGCTCTTATTTCAAAACTTCAAGCAGTACAAATATATAACTCATTTATAACTATTAAAAACAATTGTGGGAAAATATTTGTTTTGGAATTATCCCACATCAGAGAAATTTTGATTCAAAAGATGGAAGAACAAAAGGATGGAGTAAATGACATCATTTATTCCAACATTTTTTGCCCATATTATTAAGGATTTGTATCAATATCTTCTTGAAATCTGTTGCTTCATGATTTAGACCCATATGGATAGGTCTATTTGATTTTCAAGTATTTACTAATGTTTCGCAATTTTCGTCCAAGTATCCCTTTAATCGAAGCTCTATGTGCAATATCTTTATTTTATTAAACAATTTAGTTTATCTTCAGTTTATTAGACAATGAATCACTGTATTAATCATATATGTACATTGTTTTTTAGTTAATCATGAAATTACCCAAAGCACAGCATTTGAACTAAAGCCTATGCACAAGTTACTGTTTGGACGCGAGGGCAGGGTAAGATTATTGAATATATCAAATATTGGATTTTTACAAAAAAAATTCCCAAAGTTTAAAAAACCTTTGCATAGAGAGCAGTTTACATGCTACAATGCTTAACTACGTAGTAATTCTGTGCAACTATAATAGTATTTCGTTCTTTTTTTCTAGTTTCGACTGTTGTGTTGACTAATATTCMGAGTGCTTTAATCTTGATCTTCATCTTGTTTAACTTTTCATATGAACTTTTGTTTTTAAGGCAAATGAAATCAAGAAAAATATAAGATTATTTAATGGATTTAAAATTGAGGAGGTAGGTCCTGAATGCATCCTTTATAACATATTACATGTACACTGTATATCAATTTTTTATCAATTTTTGATAATGATTTTGTAATGTTTGTACTTAAACTTTATAAACCTGTAGTTAAACTACTAAAGTGTGCATGAATCCTCTGCCAATTCTTATATGTGACTTGGTACCATTACARTAACTGACAATGACAGTTCCATTTTTTTCTAGGGAACTAAAGAATATGAGAACAAGAAATTTGGCTTGGAAAAGTAAGAATGATTATTAAAAACTATTATATTTGTCCCTATACTTGCTCTTTCTTCATGGTGTAAGAAATATTTGCTTTTGTTTTTCCCCAGTTTAAAGCTACTGTGCTCTCAATTATTTTTGTGATAAAGAGTTCATGCAATGAAAGCCATAATATACTAGAGACATATATTTTAGTGGTTATAAATTGAAATGTCCCTCACAGGATCTCCCACCATCCTGTTCTATGTCCTCATAGTTTTAACTGTTCTTGAATATTTTGATGTTTTTTTTATATTCTTAGGTTCACAAATGAAGGGTTAAAGAGGTTGCTAGAAATTTTAGATCTTGAAAAGAAAGGAACCAGGGTAAGAACCTCAATCTTCAATAACTTTGTACTAAATTTTATTTTTTTTAAATTGTAAACATTTTCTGGAAGAATTGAAGTGAGTTTTGCGAGAAACCTATAAGGGACTTGAAACATGTAACGCCATGCCAACCATTGGAATATTCAAATCTAATTTGCATATCATTTCCTTATTTGAAACAATTAAATTTGCCCTATAGCCAACCAGAATGGGCTTTAAATCTCTTATTTGTTGGCCCAATTTTCCAAATATGGGCTCATAACGTTCGTTTTCGAATTTTTAACAAGCTTTGAATAATCCGATGCTTGGTACTAAAGAAATTTACGGGCGTTACACGTTTCAGGTTTCTGGTTTTACATAATGAACTTGTTCTTTTAACCAATTCTCTCTTTCTGGTTTTTTTATCTCTTTTTTTTAACATGAGTGAGAACAGCAAAGTGTGCTGTGCTGTTTTTGTATCACTGATGACGTACATGATGATGTGTTCAGGCAATGTTATAATCATCCATTTTCTGTTTTAGGAGGATCTGAAGGAACGTATTTTTACATTTTTATTGAATCCAAAAGAAACAGGCAGAGTAAGTTTTCTAATGATTTCTTAATCCTATTTACTAGGAATTGATAGTTCATGCTACTGTACTTGAAATTGATTTGAAATTGAGGCTATAGAGATCTGAAAATACTTCACTCTGAAATAGTGAATTTAAACCCTTTTTAARAGCAGTTGATACGATAATGAACAATGCATGGTGGTATTGGAGTACTAACACACTATCTTAAGTACTCAATGCTTTCTAAAATAGCTGCACATTCATACATGTATCCTTGTTGTTGTCAGATTTAATTTATTATTTTTGTGTACAATGTGCATGTAGTCTCTCAAAGCTTTACAGAAGAAAAATGAGAAAAAGGCCAAGAAAAAAGTCAAAGGTAAATATTGTGTGTACATGCATTATACATACTGAGTACTCCAGCTTGCAAAAAAATATCATATTAAACTTTCTGCTTATGATTGCAAAGGATGTTATTGAATAAAAATTATTTCATTTAAATGATTACTAGGCAAAGGTGAAAAAAGAAAAAGACAGCCATCAAAGGTATTTAGAGTATAGTATTATGCAGAAAGAGCTGGACGTGGTTGGTGACATGCATTTAAGAAGCATTTAACACTACTGTTAGAAAAAATATCATTGAGATTTGATGAAATGACAAAGAAAGACAGGCAATACAAAAAACAAAGGAATTGTCTGACATAATCTTATAATTCTTTGTTTTTGTTGTCTCGATCAATCACAAGCCTCGTTCTGACGGTAGTGRTTGACCCCCATGTGATAGGTATTCTRCATGSAGATGCTGAAAAMTACATTGTTCCTTAATTGTCTTCCTTTATGGCAGGACTTACCATACAGTYTGTAGTTTTATATTTCTGCAATGAGTGTTGGTTTTAAGAAAAATCTGAGAATTTTTCAATATCTTTAAGGCAAAGAAGGCTAAAAAGCCTAAAGGAAAAGAAGAGGAAATAGAAGAAGATGATGATGATGATGAAGAGAAGGATAAGGAAAGTGAGGATGAGGAAGAAGAAGAGCAACCCGAAGAACCYAAAAAGAAAAAAGCAAAAACTGAGACACCAACAAAAGCCAAGTCTACGCCATCAAAACCTAAACAGAAAACGCCATCAAAGAGTAAAAARGAAGATAAAAARGAAGCCAAAAAGAAGAGTCCAAAAGCCAAGAGTAAGCCAGTTACTGTGAAAATTACTGCTGGAAAAAGGACCCCTAAAAAGACACCTGTCAAGGTGAATAAAGCAGATGATTCCTCYGATGATGAACCTCTTTCTAAGAAGACAAAGAAACAAGAACCAACTGTAAGTACATGCATCTACACTGGTGAAAAGCGCACTGCGCATGCCCACAGCTTTCCCGCCAGTGGGAGCTCGCGTCTTGAAATCTGTAAACAGAGCGCCTGGCGATTTACAGCGACAACACAGGAAACACTATAATGAAAAACCTCATTTTCTCAAAATAGAAATGACAGGATAAAAATAGAAACTACATACTAAAAGGACCTATCATGAACAATGATTGATGGAAATATGAATCTTATACATCGGTGAACGAGCTTATAAATTGTAAAAAACTTGCACAAAAATTGTTTTACAAAGGAAATTAGGCAGATTTCAGTGGGAAAGCTGTGGACATGCGCAGTGCGTTTTTCACCAGTGTCACATACATCAATCATTCAGTTAATTACCAACAATGAAATTGCTTGTGATAAAATTATTACACGCTAAAAGATACATAATAAGTTACAATTTATGAAGAAAAGAACAGTAAATGTGTATAAGATGAATTATTTTTTATGTTCTCAGAACGATGAGTTAGCTAAAACAGTCAAGGATTTATTAAAAGATGCAGACCTTGACGAAATTACAGTGAAATCTGTTAGCAAAGAGGTAAGTGAATTCATAGGAAAGACACTACACATAAATATTGTACATTTAGTATGATACCTACTGCTCGATAAAATGTATTGAAACAAACCATGTTTTGTTGCTTTGAAAATGACTAGTATGCTTTCAATGTTTTTGAAAGTAATCTTAAATTAAACTGGTCCAGATTGAACGTGCATTAAATTTTACAGTGAAATGTCAGAGGTCTGCACAATGGTATACACCCTTTTAATAAGTCCCGAGGTGTTGTATTCTCTGCACTTGACATCAAATTTATTCTTTTGAATTCCTTTTGTATTGTAAAAATTTCAAAAGAATAAATTTGACGTCAAGTGTGGAGAACTTGATACATCGGGACTTATTAAAAGGGTGTATAAGTATTTATTTCAAAGTATGATTTTTACTGGTTTTGTAAAAAAGATAAATTTAACACTGGTAAAAAAGTATGTGAAATAGCTTACTAAGTTAAGTTTAGTAAGTTATTTCACATACTTTTTTTACGGTGTTAAATTTATCTTTTTACAAATTAAACTGTTTCTTTAGAAACACCGACGCAGCTCACACTACAGAGTTTACTGCTAGTTCCCACCCCTTTACTGGTTTGACAGCCCTACAGTTGAAATACCTCATTGCTATGCAAAACCATTTTATACAGTTATTAACAATGATATCTATGTATTATGTTTTTCTTTCATTTATATTATATTTGTTTTGTGCAGGTATTTGCCAAGTATCCTGATTTTGATTTATCTGAGAAAAAAGGATTTATCAAGGAAACTATATACTCTGTAAGTATTCCCTTACAAAGAAATGTATATTATATATACATACATATATATTATCTCCTTGCATATTTTCTTGTTCACACTTTTCTATCATTGTGTTTGTTTTTTTTTATTCTCTCAGCTTTGCACCTAAAATATATTTTTATGTTGCTAGGTAATAGCTGGAGATTCCACGGACTAGTACATACATATTAACAACAACGACTAACTCCAAATCGTAATGTTTTTAATGTTATTTTATTTTATAAAAACTAGAAGAGCATAGACAACAATACAACTATAGCAATATTGTGAATGTACTACATTCCAGACCTATACTGTAGTTAGAGTTTTTTTCAAAATTTATTCATATCAACACATTTTACCTTTTTAAATGTCGTCAGATCATAAAGTAATATTATTATAATGATGATTTTAAATTGCACTTACCATACGGCAAAAGTCATGTACATGTAGGGAACTCTGTTTGGACAAGTTCAAACTATCAGAACTTCCAGTAAAAGAAATAAACTAAACCAACTATTCTGAAACTGTTGTATTATTTGCTAGATTTTAACATGCCGGGAGTTAAGGAGAAATGAAGCGTGCTAGAGCTGCAAGCTTCAAAGGCRAAAATTATATTGAACCAAATGCTTTAGGGTTTGACTTTAGTTTGTTGTAGCCTGTGTACATCCGTTTCTCACCCCTCAAAAAATCGGGGAGATTTTTTGAGGGGTGAGAAACGGATGTACACAGGCTAGTGTGTTGGTGTTTTGTAAAGTATTTTTCAAATAKTCCTCTTTATGAGAATTATTTTGTGAAAGTTGGAAATATATCTAGAGTGCACAAAAATTCTACTATTTATAACCCTAATTCAATATTGCAAACGTATTCCAAAATTATGTCCTTTATTTTTTAATTTTTCCATTTTTTAGCAATACCCAAAGTTAGGTGCAATACATTATTGTGCATTTGTATTTGCTACACAACTAGTATAAATCCAGAACCTGATAAATCATATAATAAATACAGCTTGATAAATTATTCTTTTGTTTTAAATTATTTTGTCCAAAAAACATGCTTTATTATTAATATAATAATATCTCTGTTGAGATGTGGTGACAAATGTTTGTCACTGTAATTTGTGTACAAACCTTAAATTGATTCTTAAATAGAAAGTAACTATAAATATCCTGYGATACACATCATTGGAATTCATTGTAAATGCACAATAATTATGACACTCTTTGTTTTTCTGCTAGTCTACTAAAGCTTGTTTTAAGTTATATGTGTACCATTACAGAAAAAGGCTATAATTGGAAAAGATAATTTTTGTGCTCTGAAAGGCTTGAAATACAAGCAGCTTCAATGTTGGTTGATACCTTATTATTTAACCATCTAAAGAACCTTCACTACCATCTTCTTTATTGCTGTTATTGCACAATTTTGATATAAGTAAACATGGACTTATTATTAATAAAAAAGGCGATGCTACTACTATCATAGCACCAAAGAAGACGAAGCCAGCAACAACCTAGAAAGAGTGAAAAAAAGTATTCAGGTTTAAAGCCATTTTTAAGAATATTTAAGGAAGATAAATATAACCTAGTTGATTTTACCTGTGTTCTGTGTAGAAATAGCGTTGCTCTTGAATGCCCTAGCTTGTTCCTACAAGGTCCTTTATCATAATGTCTTAGTAGTAAGTCACTCTTGAACATAAAACAAAGTATGTTAGATTAATATAAATTGATTCCTTGCAGTCATCTCTTTATCGTCACTATTCAAGTGTTAGATTTTTTGTCTACTGTCACCCTGGTCCYACAGATTYATTTTTTCCACTCATCTGAGTGAAAAAATCRAACCTCTGGAACCAGGGTAGTCTGTCAGTAGATRGATGCAATCTTTTTCCTACTAAAAAACATCTTGTCTGCCTATCTTGCTATTTTTAAAACAGATTGGAATAGTACTATAAACTATTTGCTTCTTGGATTTAGTTTGTGTACTCTTAAACTAATATTTATGAAGGGTTAAGTACACAGTTTGATGATCAGACGAATTATACTTACATCCAAAGATTGCCTGCAATGCCAGCAAAACATATGTCTACAGTTTCCACACATCATTTGAGCACATCCAGCATCTCGTTGTATTAATATGGAGCAGATTGGGCATTGCTTAATATCAGAGCTCCCTCCATTATTGAGTATATCAATTATTCTATGTATTAGAGAGAAAAAAATGAGTATAGGTTCAAGCAATGCTTTCCATGGCTAATATAGTTACATAAGCATCCAAGAGTTGAAACTCCCTTCACTATAATTATGATTGCGAAAATATTGTGACTTACCTAAGCCCAGATTTTAGATCAGTCRAACTGTTTATGATTTCTTTACAAGTCTTGTTGGGATGCCAGGGTTCTTTACACAGAAAACAGAGTATAAAACCACACTGAGGACCAAAAAAACAATTGTGTTGATCAGTATGCATTARTTGTCTATAATAGTGAACCTTAATGCTTACGAAAAGACTGCCAGTGTGATTGCATACTAGGAATATAAACGGTAGGTAAGGGGCACCTGATCAGGAGTTTCAGTGTATATACACCTACTTGCGAAAACTTTGTCATAGAAAATGGGACATTTGTATTTAGTAAAAAAGGAATAAATTAAAAAAGACAAAAGAAGATCACTGAGGCTGAACGCTCTCTTTTGWCTTGTTTTAATTTATTCCTTTTTACTAAATTCAAATGTTCTATTTTCTRTGACAACGTTTCTGCAAGTAGGTGTATGTATGTAGATGCTGGTTCTTAGTGTTGATTCCTCATGGAACCTTTATGTGATCTGAGTTTATGCAAGCTGGTCCTTTCCCAGCTATGACGGTATTGTTTTCCTTTCTTTAGTGACATTAAATAGCCATATTTGTGTTTTCTTACCTCTTTACATTCTGATTGTTGTGATACACCAGGTATTCCACTACAAACGCCATCACATCCAACTACAGGGCAAAATGTCTTGGTCCTATCAATAATTACTTCTAGAAACAGATATTCTTGTGTTAGAGGCAGGCTGTACTGGTTCATAATTCGCTGATTTTCTTTAGATTACCTTTAGTTTTCTTTACTTTTTGATACTGTTGAAATGCAACTTCATCTAATATTTTGGAGATCTTAATAAAAATAATGATAATAGTAAATATGATCATTTTAGAAATTCATCAAGATTTCATTTCATCTTTCATATGAATTTGATGTTATTGATATGCGATTGCTTTGTATACCTGATGTTCTGAAATTGCCTCTTTCGTAGAACATTTCCCATCGGGACATTCAATGTAGAKAACATTACCATCAGATATAGCGTGCTCCAGGTAATATTGCATACACTAGACAAAACAGTTATTAACAGGTGTCATATTTATAGTGTTTGTCAGATAGCCAAGTTAAAAAGCAGTTTTTGGCAAATACATCTTAATGGAATAGAATGGTAAATATAATATTTCTAATTTCTTTATGACTTTTTGACTACCAGTTTCAAATTGCAYGTAATTATGTAAATACATTGTAATTTGCATAGGCAAAATGATCAAGTGTTTGAACAGACATGAAATGAATATATATTCTGCAAATATACAAGAAAGTGACTCCATTGCCTTCTTATTATGCAATTGGGACAGGGAAGGGGCAGGTATGGGTAGTGTACATGCAAGAGCTCATCCATAAAAAGATGTAAATGTTAGAATTTCTACCTCTTCACAGAAGATACAGTTGCATTCTTCCAACTTGACTGCTTTTTTGGTTGGCCAGTTTGAAAGACATATTTTACATAGGAAAAACTTTGACTTTCTTTCTCTTTGTGGAGACTTTTTGAGTACATATGATGTCATCATGGCCTAAGTATTAATTGTCGACTTTAACCGACGAGCCTGAAACGTGAATAAGACATTGATATTATTTTATAACCAATGACCTTAGTAATAAAAGGTTATATCTGGCAGAGAAAATGGTATTTAATACCATGTGACCATTGYATCTTTCCCATTCCTTTCCTTCATATTTTCATATCTCTTTATGTTTATAATCTTTCGTCTTTATACTTGAGAAGCGCCAAAAAATGAAAAAGATCATTAATTTAACGCTTGAAAAGACGACTATCGAATACACTTGGCGCCAACTTTAAATGTCTAAGTAGTACGTACAGCCGTTCGATTATCGATTTTATAAATATTATATTTTTCTTCTAGGTAATTATTATATTTTATTATATAACGCAGCAGGAACTTGAAGATCCATCAGTACTAAAATTTTAATATGATTATTATATATAATACTTCGATATATGACTGACACTTATGTCGGAATAAAAATATTATTCTGCAATCAATTAGAATATTTTACAACCCATAAAGTTGTTTACTTTATGGATAATACAAACATTATTTTGTGCAGAAAAATGTTTGTTGCGAAGAGCGCAAAAATAGTATTTGTTTGCGGCCATAATAATTTATATATCGTGAAACGCAATCGCTTAAAAAAATAGTAAAATCTGTATCGAAATGCAAAGAATAAGCGTTGTATTTATTAAAACCGAATCAATGTCGCTTTCCGGTTGTTTTCTGGCTGTTTAGTACACTATTTTAAGAAACAAAAACTAAGTGTAGTAAGTACGTAACGCAGGTTATTTTGTATAAATTATAAATTACAAACTTGTCATTCTCGCCTCAAGAAAAATGCGACAAAAAAGTCTGCATTCGACTTGTAATATTCTTTCAGAATATCCGTTTACATCTGAAAATAACTTTCACAAATCATGTTATTACCTACAAATTTTCAGCATWTATTTCCATGCATGGCCATCCATCTATAAGCCGTAAAATCCAGTGGAATTTATTGTGGTATTCAGAGCATCGTCAATGAAATTCATGTAATAAATATAATATTTTGTCAAGTTTCACCTGTTGTTACTCCAAGCAATGGTTACTGGTACAAGGCTAATATTTCTGTTATAACATATTTGACAACTATAGAAAAAGAAATTGTTATCCGTGTGAGGAACGCGTGAGCACAATTTTGGTGGAAAAAAATTAATGACGTAATGTTTTGACTGTCAAAGTAGAAAATATTACTCTGGGGGAGGGGGTGTGCACAGTATACTTGCATCACAAAAATATATATTGAAAATTTATAACAAGCAATCAATACAGTGTTAATTTTTTCGTACTTTGCATTTTATATCTACGGATCTTTTTAAACTGATTTGAAATCTAACTATAGCAAGGTACTACAAGATATAATGGCAACCGTCTTCGATTCAGTGACATTACGAAACTGATGGCTATCATTATTTTCACATCGCATTTTTGTTCATAAAGAGGTCAGAATAGAAACAAATACAACTTCTTATTATTGTGTTTATAAATTAATATTGAGGAATTATTTCTCTCTTTACCAAAATGACGTACGGGTGAAATTCTGAATGGGCTTGTTCAGATGGGATAAAAAAATTCTTTGAAAACAAAAACAAAATACAATGTAACCGTGAGTTGTCTGGCCTTTGGTACAAAAGGATAAATAAACCAATATGATATCTGAGTGTAGAATACAAAGATTTACCTGCTTTGAGGACGGGAATTAATGTGTGAATCTTCACCGTCAGCCAAAAACTGAAGGTGGTTGATAACAATACACATAGTTCACCCACGCTTTAGCCGTTGGTAGGGCAAAAATGGTGCCTTTGCGTCATCTTCATACTGGAACGCTTCCTCTTTTGACGTCATTTATGACGTAGCTGACTGATTTAAATCCTACTCAATAGAATGGAGGCGTTGATCGAGAAAAARGAATTTTAAAATCAAATCTTGGTCACTTTAATCGTTTAGTTTTTTTTCTTTTTTTTCTTATTGATACTCCCTATGTTCATGAGAAAGATGATCGGATCGGGCGCTTTCTAGAAATGTGAAGGGGCACACTTGGAACAATTGCATTTAGTCTTCAAGGGTTTAAACTACGTTAAAAGTGATCTCATTTAATTTGTCATCAATATAYTATCTCACTCGTTTTATAAAATATCGGAGACTGATAGCGATGTCAGACAGATTCTTGCTGACTTCTTGACAAGAATTATGATAGTGATATGTATGATTGTAAATTTAAAATGAAATTTCCTGCCCTAAGAAACCTTAAATAGACATATTCATTTGCCATAACGAAACTGATAGCTTTATTTATATGTTTATCATTATTGCATGTAGCTATCAGCAATATCCTACACGTTTCCGATGGCTTTCAGATTGTCAGACGACTGAAGGGAGTGATCAGTTTATTATGCGACACAATGAAAATGTTTGACAACACAGCATTGTCATTTCTTCCGCAATAACTGAGAACTCATCCCTAAAGACTGTCAATTAAGCGGAATCTCCACTTTTTGGCGGTATATGCGAGTCGGCACGGATTACGGATCGTGGATTAGCATCTCAGTTCAGTTTTACATAGTCACATCCGTCATTTTTTCCTTAGAGACCGTCTTGGCGTAACTGTGAGCTGATTTTTGCATAACCTCATGTGAAACGGCACGAACCTATTAATAACAGAATGGTGTCGTTAGTACACGGTAGGGTAGCCTCTTCATGACAACCATGTCTTTTTTTATATAATTTTTTTTTATTAATTTATCAAACTACAAATCAAAAACACACACACATGTAGACAAGCAATTTACAACTTTTAAAGAAATCACACTAAGTGTGTTTCTCTAGATTTTTTTTATATATATTCTCTATTTACAATTTTTTTTTGAGAAAGTCACATTAAGTGTTTTTCTCTAGAATTTTTCCTGATCTAAATTACTATTTACAACTTTTTGAAAAAACGCACTAAGTGCATTTCTCTAGAATTTTTTTCCTAATGTAACTTTTTTGTTTACAGCTTTTTAAAAGACTCACTAAGAGTGTTTCTCAGGATATTTTAAATATTGGGTCTAGATTTTACTATTTCATTATCATTTTAATTACTATACTTTTTCCATTTTAGGTTAATTTAAGCAATGTTTTCGTGGCATATTTAAAACAGGGACGCTAAATTTTCATATTTTTTTAAATGCGTTTCCTCTGACAACCATGTCGATCGACGCTACGCTAGCACATGGACGGGTGGAAAAGGGAGGCTCGAGTAGAGGGGGATCGTGCGACCTCCATATATGAATGTATTCGGAGGATAAAAGGCCTCGTAGTTCATATGTGAAGAACTTTCAAAGTCCAAAGAAATTTTAAGCGGCGTACGAGGATTCGTAGCCGGCTTTGCAAGTTCGAAGAGCCGGCTAGAAGATTTGAACCCAGTGCTTTGCCCTCCCTAACTCTATATGTATATCCCCTTCCCATCACTTCGTTGTGATATCCGTGAATAAGTCGCGCGTGCGTGCGACAGATCCTACTCCACGGGCCGTCGGGTAGGGCCCACATTATAAGAGGGCGGGGAAGCTCGTCGAGCAAATCAGCAAATTTGATCTGGAATTTTTCCTTGAAACACTACTTATCATGCGCCTCGACCACTGGGAATAGCTTAGCTTCAATCAAGCATAAATTGTTATTGTCATCTTTGTACACAGAGTGTTTGCATTACTATAGGATCTCCGCTGAATAAAAGAATATACTTAATGCTTTCGAGGTTAAGGCTGCACAATAAGATCTCGAAACTGCAGTGTTACAATCAATGATATTCAAGGACTTTGGGCTTCCTGTGTGTATATATGGACTTTGGTCGAATCTTCGTGAGGCATCATGGGTAATTTGCTTACGTCGACAACAGCGCATGCGTACAGCATTCTCTACCAACTTTGTAATTCACCGGGCTGCTTCTCTGCAAAATAAAAATGCTTTCTTCAGCTGTCAGAGGCGCATTCTGGCGGATTTCATCCCATGGAGGAAGGCGTTTACTGCCTGCAGCTTGTACTGGTAAATTGATAGTTTTCTTCCACTGTAATTTATGAAAAATGTACTTATTTTCCACACGTGACCTTAGATTGCAGGTTTGTGTGACTAGTTGTTGGGGAAAAATTGAAATAAAAGTTCATGCAATCAATTTTTTTGTATTGGCTTAAATCGTAGCCCTGCTCGATGTTATTTTGAGATATAAATTAAGTGTTAAAAATGTGAAAATTTTGATCAAACGAAAGTTTTGATAATTTAAAAGCTTTTTAAAGCTTACGTATAGTCATTTACCCATGAAACTAAAAAAAAATCAAAAATATGAAATTTAGAGTTGTTTATGTTTACCCTAGAAATTATTTCAAGGATCTGCTAAACGTTTTATTTGATAATTGAAAACAGCTTGTGTTTTTATCTTRTCATCATCATCATCATCATCATCGTTGATGCCTGTATATCATCATGTTTTGCTTTATTTTTTAGGTCATGTAAATAGGTTTATGTCTAATGAAGCTTCATCAGGTAAAGAATATCCTAATAATGCCTGGTTAATATGTCAATCTTTGTCATGTCTAATCGAATGACTTACATGTAGTTTATGAGACGTTTGCAGTCTCAATCAGTTGGCATTTACAGATTATATTGAGTCTGCCCTTACAATGTCAATAAATTCAGAATTCAAAATCCTCATATAAACTAAACTCCATCAGCTAGTTATTAGGTACAACAAAAGGTCGACATCTAAACCAGGCATTCATCTTGTAATGATATTTTTACATGCTTGTATCTACATTTCATTAAATATTTGCAAACCAACTATGAAATGTTTTTTTGTATAGATAAACATATTACATATACAGTCAAAGATGGAGTTGCTATTGTTAAGTTAGATACACCAGGATCCAAGGTATTTAAAAAAATATGGAGTATTATTGTTAGGTTGCATGAGTTGCAAGTAGTTGTCTGTCAGTACATGTTGCTTGATGATTATTACGTTTGCAAATCTTGGTTTTTATTCTCACAGGTCAATGTGTTATCAGAAAAGATGACTAAAGAATTTGTACAGGTATTATAATAATGCAATATTTTTGTATTTGTATATCAAAATGTGACATTTATCTGTGAAGCATTTTGTAATAAATGTTCAAAAATGGTACCACACATTTTATTGTTCATTAACTGCAAAGGAATATTTACAGTATATAAACAAAGATGGATTTTATTATGGCTAGCAGGCATACAATAATGCAGGACGGAATCTCAAGAGAACAATGAAGAGTTCATTAATGTTACTTGTGCAAACTAAACCACTCATTGAATACTGTGTTTTGGACATTTATTTGTGCAATAGCTTGCAATGTTTAATGTTCTTGTATTGCAGAAATGAATGTACAAAACATTGAATGCATGCTTTCTTTTATTCTTTACATTTAAGAATGTCTTACTGTTTTCCTAGAAACTCTTTTCACCTTACTGTATGATACATGTAGTTTGCTTTAAATGAAAATGATTTTTTGCTTGAATGAATATTTGTTTGGGGCTAGTGAACATCAGCAGGTGTAGAACTTTTAAGTTCTATTGTTTAAAAACAATAGACTGAGGAAAAAAGTTTTGTGGTAATTTTATTAGCAAACTATTCAAAGATATAATGAATGTGTTTTTGTTGGAATCATTATCATGACTACAATTATTAAAAGGACTAGTTTCATAATGTTATTGTTTTCCATCAGGTACTGGATGAAATAGCAAACAATCCAGATGTAAATAGTTCAGTATTATTGTCTGCTAAACCAGGCTGCTGGATTGCTGGAGCTGATATAAAGTAAGGCAACGATATAATTTGATCCATATCCATTTAATCCACTTGACGACGTTTGGAGAAATTTCTTTTTTTATGGACTGGTCTACTTGCTTTATGTGCAATGCATTTTGCACAAATTCATATGTCATTAAAAGAAAAAGAACATGATGATATCTTTTTTTAATTATATTTATTAATTTGTTTTTACTTTGTCCCTAATATAAGAAATAGAATGTATTAATTAAAAATGTGTTGGCTATTTGTTTCAGCATGTTGATGGCTGGAGAAACAGCAGCAGATATAGCAGAAATCTCAGCAAATGGACAGAAAGTCATGCAAAGTATAGAAGTGAGTGCTGCAATTTTATTACCGAAATACTCAAGTTTAAGTAACAAACTTGTGCAGAATTTCCATTGCATTACAGAGTGATTTTCCTGGGTGTATTGTTATGTTTTTAGGACAGTGAAAAACCTATTGTTGCTGCTATAATGGGAACTTGCCTTGGTGGAGGTTTAGAGGTATGTAGTTCTTAGTTTACAAGTTTTGACTTCTTTTGAGAGACTATGCCTTTGGTTTACCCATCTAGTTACCAAACATACCACCATCATAATCATACTTGACATCAATGTGCTTCATAAACCTGAAGTACTTCAATCAAATTTAATTTTTAATTATCAATTTGGTTCTAGGTTGCTTTAGGTTGTCATTATAGAGTGGCTGTAAATGATAGCAAAACTGTTTTATCTGCACCTGAAGTTATGTTAGGATTATTGCCTGGTGCTGGTGGTACTCAGAGATTACCCAAGCTAGTAAGTGTATTTGAAGAGGATTAAGTACTGTAGTTGTTGGTTTCTCTAACTTCTTTAATCCTACTTTGATATACAAATGATACAGCATATTTATTAACTGTCTGTCTGGCTACAGATTGGACTTCCAGATTCATTGGACATGATGCTGACTGGAAAGAACATTCGTGCTGGAAAAGCCAAGAGAATGGGTTTAGTGGATATGATAGTACAACCCCTTGGTATGTACAAAATCCCTATATGGAGGTGATTAATGATATAGTAAGTATAATTTCAGGCATGTTTTTATTTGTGATGCAGGTCCTGGACTTCTCCCTCCTGCTGAAAACACTCTCCATCATCTTGAATATAATGCTGTAMAAGCCGCCAAGTAAGTTGTTACAACAGTAAATCATACATGCACTACGTCTACTAACAATTGTAGTACTACGTACTGTGATATTGTCTGTAGAAACTTTACTTAAAGCCTTGGTAGCAGGGTGATGTAAAGTTTTTTTGTTTGTCTTTTTTTTTAGTTTTCCCCCCACTACCTGTAACATTTTCAGGGATAATGGTCTATTTTGTATTATTTTCTTATCTATTCTTTTCAAGGGATCTTGCAAAAGGGACTCTCAAGCCAAACAGAAAAAGAACATGGACAAATATGAAAGGTCAGTGAAGTATTTACAATCACCTAAAGGATTATCCATTGTTTGCAATGTGTTTGAACTTTACTGTAGCTTAACTAGGCCAACAAAATCAATATCAATTTTTATTTGATTGTGCACATCATTGTGAGAAAATTTAGACTTCCGATTAAAGTCAAAACATCAACAATAGACCAATTCCGCATTCACCTGGATGAACACAAAACAATGTCCTCAAACTCCAGCCTCAAAATGGAGCAATTATTTCGTGTTCATCCAAGCAAATTAGGGATTGGTCTATTGTTCTAGCTATTTAATTATTGTTAACTTGCTCATTGTATTATTTATTTTTTTATCAGAAATCCTGGTTTAATGACCTGTTGTGTTTAATTTCAGATATTACTTACAACCTAACCACAAATGTGAATTATGGAAGAAATTTTGTATTAAAAAAAGCACGAGAAACTGTGAGTAAAGATAGAAGTTGTGAATCTTTTGTAGGGTCCTTACATTTAACTATAATGCTATCTTATTTTCTATTTCTTTCAGGTTATGAAAAAGACTGGTGGTCTTTATCCAGCTCCTTTGAAGATTATTGATGTATGGTGAAACTTCGTTTCAAATATTATAATCTATTAAGGGTGGATTCCTTTGATTTACAATAGATGACAACAATGTTTTATAATTAGCCTGTCTATGGACAGGAGTTCGTACCTTCCCCTAAGGAGTTTAGTCTGGAGGATRTGAAGAGGGAATACCTGCCACCAGCATTCCTTCTTGGCTTCCTATGGCCGCTATTTCTCCCTCCAAGTGGCTAGATAGGAACGCCCTGCTAAATAGGATATTCCATATTGTGTGTGAACATAAAGAAGGCAACAAACTATTGTAATCAAGTTCTAATCGAGGAACTTTCTTGTTTTGAATGTCTGTCATACATGTTTTTTTTTGTGATTCTAGTGTGTACGAGAAGGACTAGAGAAAGGACCGGTCAGAGGTTATGCCAAAGAAGCYGAGGTTGGTTATATAGTTAAAACTTTAATTGTTTAAATGCATTCAAAATTTGATTGTTTAAACTTCTTAAGGCATAACTTTAATGAAGTAGTAAATTTCTTAATTGATAATATTTGCATTTAGGAATTTGGTAATCTCAGTCAAACAACTGAAGCCAAAGCCTTAATGGGTCTTTTCTTTGGACAAACTGAATGCAAAAAGAATAGATTTGGCAATCCTGCAAGACCTGTAAAGTATGTTTAGTTCTTTCATATTATGTTTACCCATAATTTACTTTCACCAGTTGTCATCATTGTCATCACCAATCTGACCCCTTTTATAATTTTGAATGCAACAACATGTTGGAATTTAAAAGAGGAATGGAGCATCCTGGCTCAGTGCTTGATAGRCCCTCTGCAGTTCATGGGAATTCAGCCCCAACTTGACGACAAAACAATGGATTTTAGTTCCCAAGAGAAAATCTTTAGTTTTGAATGAAACTGATTTGATGTYACATGCAAGGGGTCTATATCTTTATTAAGCATGTGCAAGGGGTCACATGATAATGGTATGTTAAATGTTGCAGTAGTGCAACATGTAGGCAATGAAGATAATTATCATGAAAGCTAGTGCCTTGCAGTAACTAGACAAATGAGGAAACTTTCTTTTCTATTTGTTATGATTATGATTTACTATCGTGTTGGTATCGTGTTTGCAATCATCATTGCAGCAATAATAGTGATCTTTCCTAATAATTTTTTACTTGTTATTTTGTTACAATCAGAACTATAGGAGTTCTTGGTGCTGGATTGATGGGGGCAGGAATAGTCCAGGTAATTCAATCAAGATCTAAGTATCACAGCATAAACAGTTAATAATGCAAAACTTTGTCCTGAAATACAGTGAGCATAGTCCCACAACTCAGGCTGATTGTTTTCCTTTGTACAATTCCTAAATTMCTATAATTATTATTTTTGTGTTGAAAAATGCTTTTACAATAGATCCATATCCTATCAGTTAATTTGATTACCATTTGTGATATTCAAAATAATGTTAGATGTTATCAGCTTACTACTAGTTTTTTATAGAAAAAATCGTTATTGATTATTGTGCTCTAACAAATACCAAATATAGGTCAGCATYAACAAAGGAGACCATATCATTATGAAGGACAACCAAATGGCAGGACTGGCACGAGGAAAGCAGCAAATATATAAGGGGTGAGATACATAGCGTTACATCATTAGAAATTGTTTTATTACTCATTTGATTTATGGTTTACGAAATAAGGTGCTTGTCACAGAATTCAATAAAGAAAAAGAGTATTAAAATGTGCAAATTTGTTTTAAGTAAAAAAAGACAAAGGGCTTAACTAAGTTAACTAAGTTAGCCCCCTGTCATTTAATGTCAGTTACTATAGTACATAGGTATAGGTAGAAACAAAATCAAGAAAGCATTAACAGTATAAGGACTCCAAACTGACAGATCTTTCTGTTCAATATATTCAAATTGAATAAAATCTAAACCAGTTAGAAAAATTATATTCTTGCATTATGTAATGCTGATGATGATCTTTCTCTTTAGATTGAATACTAAAGTAAAAAGAAAGGCAATGACAAGGTATGTAATCATCTTATCAGCAATCGYAAGTTAAAGTTTGTGGGTGCTGGGGCAGAATCAGGGATGCATGCATCCTGAAGATACCTCCTCCCTAAAATAAATTGACACATTTATAATGGCTTTGTTTCAATATAATATTATACAAATTTTCAGTGTTATTATTAGTATTATTAGTATTGTTATTTCTTGCAATTCAATTTCAATCATGCCATTTCTTTATTTGGGATGTTACTCTAACAACATCTGTATTAATTCTTTAGTTTTGAAAGAGATACCATAATGAGTCAAGTTGATGGTCAGCTGGACTACAMAGGATTTGAAAAAGCAGACATGGTCATTGAAGCTGTTTTTGAAGACATCAAYATCAAGCATAGTGTGATTAAAGAAGTTGAAGCTGTAAGTGTAAAAGAACATAGAGTGGTTTTCATAAACTAATAAAACCAAGAATGTGTATCCATCAAGTACTACATGGACAATCATTGCCAAGATACCTTGGACCATAAAATTCTTTGTCTCCAGCCTGTTTTTCTCCTTCATTTTTTCACAATCTTCCCCCTTAGTACCTTTTCATCCATGTTGGGTCTTGTTTTGGATGGTTTTGTAAATTTTCTGCCGGTGTTGCTTAAAATAAGGGAATTCACTTGAATGATCCAAGGATTTTGGCAACGATGGTAAATTAGATGATAAGCCAGTTGTAATATCAGAAAATTTAAGCCAATCAATTAGTCATACTAGTGGGTAGCCAATCAAAGTAGAGTCTCATTAGAGCAAACTTACTCAGCAATTTAAGGCTAGTTTTATACAATTTAAGGCTAGTTTTATACAATTTAAGGCTAGTTTTATACAATTTAAATACAATTTAAGGCTAGTTTTATACAATTTAAGGCTAGTTTTATACAATTTAAGGCTAGTTTTATACAATTTAAGGCTAGTTTTATGACATTGAAGTAGAAAATCAAAGAAAAAAACTTGAAGTGGGCACGACTAGACATATGATTGTAAGAGGCATTAATTTGATGTGTTTTTATATTCCAGGTTATTCCAGAACACTGCATTTTTGCATCAAATACATCTGCACTACCTATTAGTGAGGTACAGTGTACACAAAACTGGATATTATTTATTTCCTTATTGTACTTTGCTGCATAATGTGCTGAGCGTTTTTCAATCGCGGATCATGAATGAGATAAAGTGGTTGTTGATTCTGTTAAACGGTTTTTTTAAACAGATTGCAAAAGCAAGCAAAAGACCAGAGAAGGTAAATGTTTACCAGCAAATCWTATTCTAACTTATTCTTCTATAGAAATACCGAAAAGCAGTGTCCACCTAGAAATATTTTGGGAAAATTTCTTGTTCAATAAACCGTTATCTTAATGCATTTTCACAAATGCAAGCTTGATCAAAACTTCAACGTTACAAATAAATAACTAGTTTATCGCCAAAAACAGTCTGAAAATCTCACAAATAGTACCCAATTTTGTCAATTAGAATAAACACAAAGTCTCGTTCATTTATGTTTTTCATCGTGCTTTCTTGTTTGTCAGCTGAAATCACTTTGTAAGTTCACATTCCCAAAATATTTCTAGGTGGTCAAGTCTTTTCTGTTATACGAGGGATGGCATCTTACTCCTGTTTAGGGGGGGTGAATACCGTTTAGTAACCAATTCGATGTTACACTTTTTAAAATTCTAGATTATTGGCATGCATTATTTCTCTCCTGTTGACAAAATGCCTCTACTTGAGATCATCACTACAGACAAAACATCTGAAGATACTGCAGGTAAGTCTAAAAACAATAGTTTTACTCCTTGTTTTAAATTCTTCAATGCTAAATATATCTATTCTCTTAAAAAGCTGCTGCAGTTAGTGTTGGACTTAAGCAAGGAAAGACTGTCATCGTTGTCAAGGTAGATGGGGATTTAGGACTATTTACTAGTATTTCATTGTAACTTGTGATTTCTTTATCGTTTTTGATTTTATAAGTTGCATTAAATTGAAACTTTATTGTCCTTAGGATGGTCCAGGATTTTACACYACAAGAATCTTAGCATCWGCGCTTGCTGAAGCCATTGCTTTACTTCAGGTTTGAAATAACAGTGTTATTCCCGTAATATGAGTATTGTGATTTGCATGCCATGTTTTGTTGAATTCACATCGTTTCTCCACCCACTCTTTTTAGTACAATGTAAGGGGACATTATGTAACTGAAGTAGTCATGAAAATGCTTTTTTCAGTCTTTTTTTGTTGTTGTAGGAAGGTGTTGGACCAAAGGAACTGGATAGTCTTAGTAAGAAATTTGGTTTCCCAGTAGGAAGTGTGACATTGGCTGATGAGGTGAGTTTTTCTTTGTTTCTTTTCTCTATCATATTCTTCAGCATTTAACATTTCCTGTAATGTAGGTTGGTGTTGATGTTGCTTGTCACGTTGCTGAAGATCTCGCAAAGGCTCTTGGTCCAAGGTAAATAGAAAGTCTTGCACATTGTTTTTTCCGGTTTTTCTTTGGCATAGCGTCATTCATTTTCTCTATTGCCACCATGATCCTTACCGCTCGAAAAACTGAATCTTTTTATGTGATATTGGAACGGTTTGGGAGTGCATTTAAAACACTTCCTAACACTCCCCTCCCCTAAGAAAGATCGCATTCTATTCAGGCTTACTCAGGATGATATGTATCATTTTGTAGATTGGGTGGAGCTGATGTTGGTGTACTCAAGACCATGGTAGAACAAGGATTACTAGGTATTGTATGCACCATATAAAACTGTTYATGTATGAAGTAAGATGCACTAATGTTTGAATTATTTGCAGGTAGAAAATCCTCCCAGGGTTTCTTTACTTACAAGGGAAAACGAACGGTAGGTTGAAATTATCAAGTCATTATTAAAGATAATGGAAATGCTTAACTTTTTGATACTTTAAAGGTTAACGAAGAAGCTTTAGAAATCCTTAAAAAGTACAATGTACCAAAGAAGGGAAGGTATGATATAGATTCAGATGGTTTGGCCAAGGACCGGGTTCTTCAAAGCTCGATTAGCGCTAATCCTGGGTTAACCCTAAAAATACTATAGACCTAACCCTGGATTGACGCTAATCGGGCTTTAACAACCCGGTCCAGGAGTGTGTATACGGATAAATAAAGTGAATTTGACGCATTGTAGGTGTTAGTAATATTTGTTGTGGTTGTTGGTCAAAGGAGCTGACTGCTTGGCTCTTAATTCAGATGGCTTATTATTTTCTCTATGTTTTTCAGCCATGAAGCAGAGGAGATACAAATGAGACTTGCAGGCCGATTTATCAACGAAGCAGCACTTTGTTTACAGGAAGGCATTCTTCATAACCCGGTATATTACAAGAATCGACTTCTGATTGATTGATTGATTGATTGATTGACTAGTTGATTGATTAATTGATTGACTTATTGATTGATTGATTCTTTGCTAATGGATTCGCTTTCTGGATCTTGATTTGCTATCCTTTTCTGTAAAATTAGGTCGATGGTGACATTGGTGCAGTGTTTGGCCTCGGTTTTCCTCCTTTCCATGGCGGTAAGTTGCGTTATATTCGGCACTCGATGGAGATGTTGCAGTCTAATATTTTATATTCTATCTGCTCGTCACGGCGATGATCCGTTTTATAGTATGGTTGTATTTTATATTTTAGGTCCATTCCGCTATCTTGATACCTATGGAGCCGATAAATTTGTAACCCGTATGCAGCAGTTACAACAGACGATTGGTGAAGTTCAATTTGAACCGTGTCAGTTACTACTTGACTACGCCAAGGATCCTACCAAGAAATTCCACAAGAAATAAAAAACAAACATTGGTCAATACCATTGTGTATAAAATTGGAACTACTTGTTCTTCTTAGTGCAGACTAGTCGCGAGGAAAGCATTACAAATGCTCGATGTAATTGTATTATTAAGGTCGCAAGTTGAATGAGGTGAAACTATCGGTTCAACTTGTATTTTTGATATTTTTCGTGAAAGGAAATATATATACTTAAGTCGACATTGTGGAATAAAGTCTTGATAATGTTTTTAAGCGTATATTTTTAATATTTTTGCATTGATAGTACTTTGTTAACTATTCTCATATTCCACTGCAAGCTTGGATAGCCTCTATACCTACGATAGAAAACATTGGGAATAACTAGGCAAAAAATTTACTATTATAGATTCGAGACTAAAAGCCCGCTTGCACTGTAATTTAGATGAATAAATGGTAGGAACTATAGCGGTAAAACTAGTGTGAGCTGCGTCGGTGTTTCTAAAGAAAAAGTTGTGTAAAAAGATAAATTTAATACCGTAAAAAAGTAGTTAAAATAGTCTAACTTACTGACGTTTTGGACATTAATCCTTCGTCGGAAAGAGACGAAGGATTAAGTCCGAAACGTGAGAAAGTTGTTCCACCTACTTTTTTACAGTGTTAATTTTTCATAGTCAATGTGTTATAGTCACCTAAATCACTCTACTATTCGCTCTCTGCCTAATTCCTGGTTCCTCCACGCAAGTACACGTCCTGATCTGTACAGCAACAGATAATACACGGACAAACTTGCCGTATACGTAACTAAAGGATGTGATCATTCGTGGAGATCAGATAATTCGCTTAACTTCGTGTTTATTCGCCCCGCCACTAAGGCAGGGCATCAAAAAATTGGTCTATAGACTCATTGAGTTGTTCCCCTCCACGGAAATCTTTAGTAAAAGGCGAAAGATTTATGCGATCTGAAGGGAAACCAGAGTAAAGGAACGAAGTCGCCCAGAGGTCCCGTWCGACTACAATGTGCGCTCAAATGTGGGATTACATGTGCAGCCGTGCATGACACCGGTGGCCTGGTGATGAAATTGAGCACCATTTCAATGACATGCTCAGAGGTCATCTTAGATTACTCAGAGAGCTAAAAACAATCTCTTTCGGTCGGTTGGATTTGACAAGACTTACTAACATTTATTTTTTTGCGATAAAGACTTAGTTTGTAGACAAGTCGTAGTTTATACAATTGAAAAAAATCAATAATTAATCAGGGTTCCTGCGGAACCGCGAGTGAGTTTCGGCTTTCTTTATTGTCGTACACAAATTGTCTCGGCCAAACTAGAATGCACTGGGTACGAATCAGGTGACATTCACAACTTCCATGTGCTATCTTTACATGGTGTCCTCGAGGTGTCGTCTTGATACGAGTGGAAGACATGGATTCAACTTCAAAAACGCTCAAATCTCTTACAAATCCACACACCATTCGCGGTATAGCCACACTAAAAGATGTCGAGCGTTTTTCGAAAGGRYATTTTGAGAGATACCGCGAATTTATCGTGAAACTTTAAATCGTGAACTATCTATCAAACAAGCTACCAATCTTATCAAAAGCGAACTCTATACTCACTAATTCTACATTGAGGCTCTGGAACTACAAAGGACTTCTCTAAGGATATGCCTCTGTACCATAGACCTATGAATCTCATTAGAAAGAGTGTTTTGTTTTATTTTTGATGTTGTCAGAAGTACATATGTACTTCTGATGTTGTACAATAATTACTCAACGCAATCCGCCAACAGAGTTGTTATATAAGAACAGCAACACAGGGATTCCAAAATAAACTTCAGGGCTGCTTGTTTTAATAGCTTATCTCTATTAATTTACTCGTATATCTTTCAATACTGTTAACAAAACAGTAAAACAAATTAAACTCGACTGTATTGTACCCTAATAAATTGATATCAATACCATCAAACGACTACTGAGTAAAACCCGATTTTCTTGAAACTATATCATTTTAGACATAAAATCATCTATCGAACCCATGAGAACCCCGAGTTCACGCAGTTATGCGTCTAGTTTCATTAAAGATTGAGAGTCCGACGTTGAAGGTGAAGTTCGCAATCTTGAAATCTAACGCAGGAGATCCACTCAAAGTCAAGAATAAAATATAGAATGATCAGAATACGTTTTTTTAAGTACGGTAAGAATGTTACTGAATTGTCAATGAAATTTAGTTTAGATTATATATCGCTTTTATCGATTTTATATTACAATCATTTCTCTTTATTTTTACTTTAGAAGATTCGCCGCGCTACTAAGACAGAGCAAAAAAAAAATTGTTCTATAGACTCATTGTGTTGTTCCCCTCCACGGATATGTTTAGTAAAAGGCGAAAGATTTATGCGATCTGAAGGGAAAGCAGAATTAAAGAATCAAGGCGCCGAGAGGTCGAGTTCGACTGCAATACTCACTCAAATGTGGGATAAAAAGAGCAGCCGTGTTGTGACATCGGTGCCCTGGTGATAAACTTGATATTTGTTTAAGGTATCAGGGGACCTTCGCGACTGATCTCACTTAATTCTTCATAGCAAGTTAACTATTCAAGCTATGACTATAAAAGTATATATTTTCTTAAAGAGGAAAATGAGGGGAACAAGACCGACTGTGCAATTTGTCTTTGGATTTGTGCCATTTATTTTTTCGAGTTTGTTGATATATCTTGTTGCGTGTAGAAAGTTATAGCAAATTTTGTATAAAAATAGCTTTGAAAGTGGATATTTCCGCAACAAACGCGTTAATCCAAAAAATGAGACACCTGTTTAGAGATCGAACTGTGAAGACAGAAACAGTTTATTAGCACAAAGAAATCCGGTCTCCCAGCAACTTCTTAAAAATGACTGTTCAAAAATAATAAAAATTTCCTCTAAAAACGATTTATTCATTTTTATCGAAAACGGTCAGTAGAAGAATTTTGAGTACTTTTCCACAGCAAACACGCACAAAATTACAAGTCGTGTGGTTGTTAGAAGTCTTTGTTATCCGTGTGCTTGATTGGCTGAAGTGTATTAATTATTTTATCTGGTCGTGACTATCTGTCTCAGTCACGACGACGAAGCCGCAACAGACTGGCTACCCGCAGGGCAGTGCTACTAAAAACTACTACCTTTTGCGTATCGATCCAGAGGAAGATTTTGGAAAGCTCAAAAAAGTAAACTTCTCAGTTACGGCCGTGATCGAATGAAACTTAAACCTGTTGTTCAGTATTCTGAAAAGATTGACATTATTTGTGCTTTACAAGCATTTCTTAACACAATGTTATGTTACCAGGGAACTCAAGCTTCTTAAAATTATTTTTTTAGAGGAATTGGATATATATATGTAATTAGTATAAACATACTAATGGTCTATCACTCATACTGCGCTGTGATTGGCTACTCTACTAATGGTCTAATTTGTGATAGACCACTCGCGGGAAAATCAATCTCATTAATAACTTATTTTAAGGATATTTTAAGGATATTTCAATTTGTTTTCATTATTTGACCGATTAGTATGTTTATACTAAAACAATTAGACCTCTCGGCCTCGTGGACTACGAGCTAATAGCCCATTCGGCCTCGCGGACTCGGCCTCATGGGCTATTAGCTCGTAGTCCACTCGACCTCGAGGTCTAATTGCATGTTAAATAGCCATGTCTAAGAGCAGCTTTGCTGTAATAAATACGTGTCGAAGCGGTAAGTGATAGACACCACACKGGCGTGGCTACTGATAGTTTGGTGGTCTTTGCTCACGGCTTTGTCAAAGAAGAACAGGAAGCTTTTGCATGCAAAAGTAACTTAGACTTTACAATAAATCTTTTTGATTGCAGATTGCCAAGGTAAGAGGTGTCAATACTTAAATGAATTTGTATGCTATAATAAAATTAAATACTGTCTGATGAGTGTGATGAGTGCGTAGCACGAAACTCGGAGTAACAGAAAATCTTGCCTCTTTGATTATTATATATATGCTATAATACTAAGCTTGGTTCCAATTCTCTCTATAACGCATGGCTGTGCTTTCGCATTTTGCCATTCGGGTACCATAGATAGATAGATAGATAGATAGTTTCAAATCGCTTTATTTGCATGAACTAATTTTTATAGTTATTGCTAAAGCTAATTACAATTGTATAATGTATTCAAAATAGATAGATAGATAGATAGATAG